AGAGTTTCCTCAACATTTAGGAGGGTCACATTCTATTGCATTTTCAATGAAAACTTATGATTCTATTTGTCAGACTCCTTCAGTTAGCTTGATTTGGCAGATACCTAACACATTCTGGTTTACACCAAAAAAAAAAAAAAAAAAAAAAAAAAATAGTGTGAGGCTGTGAGGGAAACTCAGTGGTTACGTGACAAAAAGTTCAAGAGATGAATCTTCAAGAGCCAACTGATCCAGGGTCTCCAATGAAGTCATCAGGGCAGTGCCTCTGTGTTGTGAGAAGAGGCTGTGTTGTCCTCTTTGTTGACTTTATTCTCAGCAGGCTTTCTTTACATAGTGGCAAAGGCAGCCACTGGCAGAGGCAGCCTTATATACTAGCACGGCAACTTGAGCTGAAAGGATTCCATGGAAATTTGTGGGATTTGACTAACAATGTGCCCAATCCTAAGCAATCACTTGGTTGATTGGTTGGACCTGGGTCACATGACTGGGGATGGGGTCAACCCCATTCTGAACCACTGGGACTGAGCAAGCAGGAAGGAAATTGGGGTGCTGTTACCAAAAGAAAAGAAAAAAAAATGTCAGGCAGGTAAAAAACTACGACTTTGCTCAATAAAAATGCACATATTTTTTGTTTGTTTCCTAGGGCTGCCATAACCAATTTCCATAAACTTGGTGGCTAAAAACAGCCGAAATTCATTCTCTCATAGTTCTGGAGGCCAAAAGTCTGAAATCAAGGTGCAGGGCTGCACTCCTCCGAAGGCTCTTTGGGAGCAGGCTATCTTGCCTCTTCTAGCTCTTTTGGCCCCTGGCAATCACTGGCTTGTGGCAACATGACTCAAATCTCTGCCTCCCTCCATCTTCACATGGCCTCTTCCCTTCTCTCTCTGTGTGTCCTCTCCTCTTCTAATAAGGATACCAGTCATTGAATTTAGGATGATTTTTTTCCTTAAGATCCTTAACTAATCTTATATCTGCAAAGACCTTATTTCCAATTAAGACCACATTCTGGGTGGACATGAATTGGGTGGGGGGGGGGGGGGAATACTATTGAATACAGCATACCCCACACACATAAAATTTGGCATACATTTTCAGGAGGTTCATGAATTCATTCAGTCCCATCAATGGATAATGAAAAGGAATATGGACCACAGATTAAGATGCCTAGATTAGGGTTTCTCAACTTCAGCATATTGTCATTTGGGGCCAAATCATTCTTTGTTTGGGAGCTGTCTTGTGCATTGTAGGATGCACAGTATCCTTGGCCTCTGCCCATAAAATGCCAATCACATGCCTTCCCCAGTCATGATAATCAGAATGTCTTTAGACATTGTCAAATGTCCACAGAGCAAAATCACCCCCAGTTGAGAACCATTGGCTTATACTAAAATCTTAGGTGTTCCCAGGACAGACAGCCATTCTGGTGACCCAGCAATCCTGGGTACATATTCCAGAGAAGCCTCATAGGGCAACATGTGCAAGAATGCTCAACAAAGTGCTGTTTATGGCAACTGGTACTAGGGACACATTCTAGGTGCCCATCACTGTGGGGAATTAGTAAGGGAAGTGTGATTTAAAGTGGACTTTGCCCTACAAACTCCTTATCTTCAGACCCAACAGGCCTCTCCGATATTAACCATGTCCCTAGGCCAAGACTTACAATGCCTCAGGCTTTACTTTGGCATTTGAAGTGTCAGTTCCTCAGTCACCTTCATTCAGAGTCTTGCATTGTTCACAAGCTCCTTCTGAGGGAAGAGGCCGTGTTCAATCCATCTCTGTTTGCCTCCAGAACTTGCTGGATGCTTTATACTCAAGCATCATTCAATACATGCTACATTTATTAAATATGTAATACTATTACCTGGAATTTATTTGTTAACTCTACATAAGATGTATTGAGATTGCTTGAGATAAAAATAAATGTTTGATTCTTTGGAAAATAATCTATTTTTAGAAAGAAAATATGATTTAACTCAGTTGCCCTGCATAAATAGGAAATCTGATTATTCTTTGATCTTACTTTTCCTTTTTAAAATTTAATTCATGAAGAGATGACCAATTATGGACGACCCCACAGCTTAATAACATATCTGTTAATGTTCTAGGGGAAAAAAACTCAGTGAATTAAATTAAGTATTAATGGGGTTTGAATTGATTTGAGCAACTGAAACAAATACCTATCATACCCTGATGTGATCTAGTTATACGTATTTTTATTGCTAAGACTGACTTTGAGTTTGGCAATAACGAGACACCCTGTCCTTGCATCTTTATAGTCCATTTTTCTTGAGTCGTGTAGTGGCTCTGGATGCTTTGTGAAGTGTAAATAATAATAAACACAATAGCCAAAGTATTAGGTAGGGTTGGTCCCTCAAATTCATTCACTTATTCATTCCTTCTTCTGTGCATGCACTGGAAAGCATCCACGGAGCACCCGCTGTGTCAGGCATTGTTCTAGGTCCGAGGGGTTTAGAGACAAACTAGAAACAGTGCCCTGTCCTCAAGGAGCTGCCAGACGGTAAGGAGTGGCAGGCCTATAGACAAATTGGGTAACACAGTGTCACTGGGTGGTGAGCTGATAACTGATACTTCTGGCCCTGCCTTCCTCAACGCAACAACTCCGCACCCGCCACCTGCCAGAGTCAGTTAGTGGTCAGTGGGAAACGGCAGGGTGATGGGCAGCAGCGAGTGGAGTAATTGTGACTGTAACTGAGTGTGATTGAGTCCTCATTTGTCCCAGGTGCTTTTCTGAGAACTTGACTCATTTAATTCTCACCCAAAAACTTTCTGAGGCAAGGGGTATTATTATACCCATTTCACAAACAGGGAAACCGAGGCCCAAGCTTGTGATATCCTAAGTGTGAAAAACAGCTTCCATCAGGAGGTGCAAATGTGGAGCTTCCGACTGGCACCTGACTTGTTCATTTTTGTGCACATGGCACCTAACACCATGCAGTAAGTGATCAGTAATCCCCACTGGATGACGCTGTCCAATCAGATCTCTTCTTAATGGTGGGCTTTTAGGGAGAGGAGATCTGCCCTCAATAGCAGGAGTGCAAAGCTTTCAAACAGCACGGCAAATGAACCAAGTATAATGCTAATAAACTCATCTCAAGTTCACCATGTACTAGGCATGGTTCTAAGTGCTTTACATGTATTCACTTATTCTTTACAATAACCCATGGAGGTAGGTACCATACTCTCTACCCTATAGGTGAGGAAATTGAGGTATAGAGTGGTGAGGTGACTTGCCCAAGGCCACACAGCTAGAAGGTGCAGAGGTAGAAAGGGACCCTAGGCTGTCTGATCTTTAACCCACACACTGTCTGGTGGGACCCCAGAATACAAGTCCTGAACACACAAGGTAACCCCAGCAGAGAGGCAAGGAACTGACCTCATAAATGATTGATCTTGACATTTGGAAGGGGAGGACCAGAGTCCCTACACAGTGATGCAGCTTGGGGACCCATACAACCCATGGGGCTGAACTGGGCTGCGGCTGAGGGGTGGGGGAGTGGGGCCACTGCAGGAGGAGCAGAAAAGCCAGGGGCCCCACAGTGGGCAGGAAGCACAGCATCACTTTAGCCAGACCTTTCTGCTGAGAACTGCAAATATTCCCCTCGCCCAGCCCCACTGTTACTAGCTTTTGAAACATAAATCTGTAAAGTACAGAAAATAGGATTTCTGGGGGTGGGGGGCAAATCCAAGGTCATGCTTCCCATTTCTTAGTTTCCAGCTCCACCCAACCCAGAGGGTGCCCTGTGGCCTCCTGGAGTCAAGGCCAGGCCCCCAAAGCAGCCCACGTCCTGTCAGCGACAGGCCCGGCGGACTGGAGGGAACTGGCTTAATAAATGTTTTTACTTTGGCATTTGGAGGAGGGCAAACCCAGCCAGGCCTCAGAGCCCTCCGCAGTGCGGTGGGGCCCGCTGAAGCGTCCCTGCCCTTTCCAAGGTGTTCTCATGACAGCTGCTACTTGGGGGCCTCGGGCTGGAGCAACTGCTGCGCAAGGTGGTGACCTTCTAAATCCGGAGCAGTTAATGAACCTGGCCGGCCGGGAACCCCGGAGGCTGCACCGTCCGTGGTGGCTTCTGCCAAATTCCTCTTGTTATTTTTGATTCCCTTCCTCCTCCTCCTCCTCCTTCCCATTATGCCTGACATTTCTAAGGCCAAGTTTTGTTACAAGCAATTAGCCTGTGTCAGGGATCTGGGGAGATGAGCTGCTTGCCAAGACACAGGCTGAGGTAGGAAGCGCCTAAGTGAGAAGGGCTGCCTGCAAGCTGGCTGCCCGGGGGTCCCTGGCGGTGGTGCACAGGCCGCTGGCAGTGGGACATGAAGCTTTGTGGTGAGCGGAGGCTAAGGAAATGGCCCTGTGCAGCCCAAATGGGAGTCTGCACACCGCTTCCGAGCCTCTGCCTGCTTCTGATCTAGAAATTCCCCCTCCCCACACGAGCTTCCCTGCATGTGCTCAGAGGCCAGAGTTCATGACCTTTTTCAATCTTTGAAAAAGGAAGTCATGTATTTATCTACAAAAAGCTATACAGACTAACCAAATACATCACACACACACACACACACACACACACACACACACACACACACTATATATATATATATTGCCTGGAATTATGTATCCACTCAGTGTCGTTGTCTAGACGCTCAGTTATCAATTTTGTGTGCTGACTAAGAAAAACTAGAAACAAAATACTCTTGAATCAATGCATTTCGTGGGGGTAGACAGCATCTCTCACATGGAGAGCTCTGTGGGAACCACAGGGAGGAGAGACAGGTGCCGAGTCACTGGCTAGTCAGCCCTGACTTCCCACCTCAGCCTCAGTGCTTCCTGGCCCTACCATAGTCCTCGTCCGCAGGTGTCCCAGAAGGATGTCCCACATTCAAACCTAGACAGTGAGTTTCAAACCCAACCATTGAAATCTCAGGTTTAAAACTCAGCCTTTCAAACCCAACCATCGGTTTCAACCCTCTCATTTCTTCTGTTTCAGAACGGTGAAACAACTTAAGAAATCAGCGTGTGCTCCTCAGAGAGTCTGCGGCTCACCTAACCATCCAGGCCACTTCCAGGAAGACTTCAGTGGTGGCTCCTGAGATGGTTTCCATCATTGGTGTGGTGATGGGTGGACGTCTTAGGAAGATGAGGAAACTGAGGCCCAGGCGACAGGTGAGCTGTCTAAGGTCGCGAAAGAGTTGGGTAGATGCCATGACCAGAGCTCAGGTCTCCACCCCTGCCAGGGTTCCTCCCACTTGGAGAATGGCAGTGGCTCCTGCCATTTGCATTCAATCCATGTTCCAGCCACAATCTGTGAAGACAATGCCAAGAGAGTCAGCAATAACAGCAAGACCCGGACACCCAGAAATAGTCAGCATTAGTCCCAAAGCAGTAGTGGTCATGTGAACCCACTTTGCCCTGCTGCTAACCTCACAGACCACAGGAAGCTGCCTGGCTTTCCAGGGAGGGGAGTGGGGGCAGGATGGGGGTGGGTGGGAGGAACAAAGAAGAAGAGAGGACAAGCGAGAGAAGCTCTTGGTGGAAGCTGGAGGTGGGCAGATATAAGCGGCAACTGGACCTCATAGTGTTAGAAAGTTTTTCCTCCCAGTTGGATGGGGTCAGGGCCTGGGCACCAACTGTCCTATCTTGCCTTGGGAAGACTGTGAATGTGGCCTGAGAGTTGGGTTAACTGACCCCCAAGCCTAGACTCCACAGGTTGCAACTCTTCCAAGTAGCCTGGCCACCATGACAGACGGCACTGCTGACACCCTCAGAAAGCTTCCTTTCCACCTGCTTCTAGCACTGCTACAGATAACACTGCTTTCGTCTTCGGGGTCTCTTCTAACCTACAGGCTGTTCCCCATGTGGATTGTCTCCCGGGAGTTGCAGGGACAGGCTTCTTTAGGAATATTGCCCAAAGCTGGCGCCCCACCTGCCAGCGGCACCTTCCCTGCAGGGCAAAGAAGAGGAAAGGCTAGCACGAAGGAATTAGATTTGCTGGATACTGGTCATTATCTGTGAATTGTGGGGGGCGAATTGGGGTGGCAGTGGGCATGGCACCCAAGAAATGATAGCTGAAGTTCCAAGGACTGAGCAGATGGAAAAATAAACTAGGAAAGCTCTCTTCCTCCTCCACCCCTCCTGCCAGACAAAACAAAACAGAAATAGGCATCCACCAATGTCACCCTTTGTGCTTAATAGGAGTCAGAAAACAGCCGTTCTCAGGAAGTAGGGATAGAACGGATTAGGAAGGGAAGCTGTTCTGTTCTCCCAGACAGTGCCAGCCACACGTGGTTCTCAGAGTGTGGTTCCCAGACCCACAGCCCTGGGAACTAGTTAGAAATGCAGGTGCTCAGCCAGACCCCAGGCCCCTGCACCAGACACTCTGGGGTGGCCCAGCCTTCCCGGTGACGTGATGTTCACTCAAGTCTGAGAAGCCCTCAACTCTAGCCGCACCCGGTTCCTGCAGAGGGTGGGAGGCATTCAAATGAGAGTGGCTTATCTTACCTGTTCCCAGCTTTCTTTCAAAATCCTACTCCAGTCTGTCTTTCTCCAAAGACCCTAGGGCCATCAGCCCTGGGAAAGGCCTCCTCTGAAGCCACATGTGCTAACATCTGTGCCTTCCTTCTGTAGTCGCCTGTCTGTTTTAGGGGCGGTTCCCCAAGCAGGCTTGAAGTGCCTGGGGCTGGGGCAGCACCCTTGCCCTGGAATTCCCTCTGTGCCCCACCCCAGGATCCCATGTGCACCCTGGGTGATCCCAGGTGGTGGGCCCAGAGAGCTTGTCCTCCAAAGGAGATCCCAGCGGCGGCTGCTTGTAACTCAGGGGATAGCCTGGGGGCAGGGAGACTGCACAGTTTCCCCCATACGATTGCCCTGCTGCGCGCAGCCAGGGAGCAGGCCTCCCCTTCAGCCCTCCACGCTATCCCCCACGTGGATTAGAGGCTGAACACAAACAGAATACAAAAGACAAAAGACAGGGAGCTTTCCTGGCTGTCAGAGTCTATAAAAGTCTGGGGAGTGACAGCAGGAGCCCTTGCCTGCTGCTGCTGCCCTGAAACCCAGAAAGAATCAATTTCAGACCCAGGGCCAAATAGTGCCCCAGGGGGTGTGCCTGTGGCAGGCTCTGACTCCGCCCAGACCCAGGCCCACCCCAGCCGGTCTGGGAGTGAAGGAAGGAGGAAGCGGGTGGAGGGGCACCCTTCAGTTTACAAAGGAAATGAACATTTTCTATTTTTCTCTCTCCCCCTCCTCCTCCCTCGCTGGCTACGACAGCCCTAGTCCTTTTCTAAAACCCTCTTCACTTCTCATCAGGGCCACACGAAGATAAAGTATTTTCTTTCTTGCTTCATGGAAGTTAGAATGTGACCCCAGGACAGGGACTGTGCCACCTTGCCCTTGAGATCCCAAGTCCCCTAAAAAATACATGTTTTCAATAAACGCTTGTAGTTCATTGATAAAGACCATTTAGGGCTCTAGAAATTGCATTCATGCATCCTCCTGGGTTGCAAGGAAGGGGTATGCTGTGCGTGCCGCACACGATGAGATAGCTTAAGACACAATGGTAGTTTTATTTATTTCTTTGCTTATTTATTTTCAGACTATTGTTCATCATTTAAGTTAATGTTTTCCATGTGATGGAAACAGGAAGCTTTTAGGCTAGGGTTACCAGATTTAGCGAATGAAAGCACAGGGCACCAAAAAAAACCCAAATAAAACAGGGCACCAGTAAATTTGGACTTTCAAATAAACAACAAATAATTCTTTAATATAATGATACCCCAAATATTGCATGGGACATATACTAAGAGACTATTTGTCGTTTGTCTGAAATTCAATTATGGAGGATCTTTATTTCACCTGCCAACACCAAGGACCATGCCAACAGAGAGGCACGAAGGGACACTGGTACAGGAAAAAGGTAGAAAAACTTAAAAAATATGTTATACTTTATTATGCTATTCTAAAAAGTAGAACAAAACTGAAAACTGCTTCCCAACACATGTCTTAAAAGCAGAAATCCGGCTCCTTTCATGTGCGTGCAGAGGTAGGTGCCAAGCGGGGGTCTCAGATGGAGTGGTTTTAAATCTCAGAGAGAGCTTAGCTGTTTTTGTAAAAAGGAAAGTTGGCAAGTGATTAGTGCCGATGTGGCCCAGCTGCTCTTTTGTACTCTGAAAGAAACAATTAAAATGGCTGGGACATTAAACTTTAAAGAGCTGGGCTGTTCGTACTGAGAAGCTAATTTTAAAAGGAGCCTGATACCTGGGAGACTGGGACGTTTTTCGGGACGACGTGATTTCTCTCCAACTGCCATCACGACTCTGCATTCTGAAAAATCACTGTAGATAGGTAAATAGATAAGTAGCTGGGTGAGAAAGCGCTGTCTGGCTTGGATGTGAAAATACTCAATGCAAAATAAATATTCTTTTTCACATTTTAGACTATAAAAGGCACAATCTGAGAAACTGAATACATCTGGAAAAGACAGACCCAGAACTAGTTTTTGTGTGTTTTTGTTTTTGTTTTTTATAAATTGTTTTGGCATTGTGATGTGGAGACAGGTAATGGGGTTAAGAAAAAAAATAAAATTGAACAAAGCAAATCTCTATCCTAGAGGAAGCTCAACTTAATTGGGAAGGACAGACTCTAAGCAAAGGCAGTGCCTGGGGAGGTGGCACTCCGTGTGGGCTCTGGGCTTAGACGAGGGCTCAGACCCACACCTGCCACTTGGGGGTCTCTGAGTACTGGTTTCTGCATTTGTACAATAGGAATAAAGGTGGGATTACTTCATTAGGCTCTGAGGACTAGCTCCATATGTGAAGTAAACTGCTTAGTGCTGTGCCTGCCATGTCCCAAGTGCTTAATAAGTAGTAGCTCTTCTTATAAGTGTTGACATATCTTTTGGGACCTTTAGGAGCACAGGGCAAGGAGACAGTCACTCTGGGGAGCATGGTAGGTGGCTCCCCAGAGGCTGGGTCTTAAAGGAGAGTAGGACTTTCTCAAGTAATTGAGGGCATTCTCTTCCTTGGGATGGAGGAAGTGTGGTGTGTGCAGGACAGTGATAGTTATGTGCCTTGCCTGTCACATGGCAAGGACAGTCTTTGGGGCAGTAGGGGCTCGATTATCATGGGTGTCACAAACTATGACAAGTGTTCCAGAGGTCTCAGAAAACTCCGGTGCCGTTTAAAGAGGGCAGAGACATAATCTGTATTTCTTAAAAGCTCTTTAGTAGTGGGGTGGAAAATGAATGGGAAGTAGGCAAGAGTGAAGGAAGGGAGATGAGTGACTAAGGAGATGGTGAGGACTGAATTATGTAGGTGGCCTGTCAGGTGAAGAAGATAATAGTGATGCAAAAGATACTCTGGAGATAGGCTCATTACAGGCTTGGGGACCACCTGCGGGTAAGGGGTGAGGGAAAGGAGAGGCTCAGGATGAATCTCAGGTATTTGATTTGGGTAACATGGCTGAAGGAGCGCTTTAGCAAATGGAGAACAGGTTTAGGGAGATAGAGAGATGTGGGTTATGCATTCCATTTTTATTTATTGAGTTTGAGGCACATATGGGACATTCAGGTGGAGACCTCTGCCTAGGAAGGCCAAAGAAATAGGGACCTGGAGCCTGGGGAGACGTCTGTCTCTGAAGTTAGGGAAGAGAAGTGATATTGCAGTGGTGAACTTAGATGAGATGGAGGACCACCTGGGGAACCCAGAAAGGGCACTGAGACAAACAGCTGAAGAGGTGGGAGGAAACCACAGAGCCTGGGCCATAGCCTACAGGAGACCAAGTTTCAAGAAGGTGTTCCAAAAGGCATCCTTTAGGTGCCACACTGTGTTCCAAAAGGTCCTTTGGGCCTGGTGGTGGTTGATGGTCCTGGGGTGCAGGCGTCACTCAGCTGGAGGGTTGCTTCAGCAAGAGAACTGTGTTGCCTCTAAGCTGCAGAAGAGTTGCCTGATAGAGAAATGCAGGTGCCCAGAAAGAAAACTTAGCATTTCCAAGGAAGAGCAGATGCACAGTTTCATTACAATAGTCTCTCTCCCCTGAGTAAAAATGGCTGCGCCTCTGAAGCAGTCTATGAGCTCTAGCATAACTCAGAGTTACTATCTTTCCCTAAGAAACTTCAAACAATTACAGGCTCCATCCACAATCTCACCCCATTGTTTCTAAGACACAGATAACTAGAAAGGACAATACCTTGCATCTCATCTCAGAGGAAATAGTGAACCTACCAAAATTTCAGCACAGGAACGCCCACCCCACCTCCACTCCTCACTACCCCTATGATCAAGGCAACTGGATTCCATGTTTTTTAATCAATCAAT